TTAGGGTAATTTCATGATTTCAATTTATCGTAGTACAATATTTATTTACATTATACTACTATATTTCATCTATTCTAAAACGGGAATTGCTTTCTACAATATCTTAAAAACATAATTCTGGGAAATCGAGCATTAAATAGTGATTAAAGATAGGTAAGCTAACTTAAAAGTGTATAAATACGTCATGAGTTCCCGCATCCCATAAAGTGGCGGTTGTAATACTTATACCGACAGAATATACGGTATGCGAGTAGATCAACATAATCTGTTTATCTTATTTGGTTACTGCCTCCAGGGTTTCGCTCAAAAGGGTATTGATTAGCAATTAGTTTCACCCAGTAACTTGAGGTTCATTAGACTTCGAAAGAAGGTCTGGCCGGTAAATTAATTTCCAACCATTTACGAACACAAATTTTTATGTAAAGATAAAACATTAGTTGTTACTGATTGCTACACCACTGGCAAACGGCGAAGGAAAACATCGTGAGGAAACCGAGGTCTACTCCGGTTCTCGAATGCGAAGTTTCGTTTGATTTGCGGCGGCAAACAACGTTTTCGGAACCATAGACAACTTTCGTGAACTACAATGTACGAATGAAGTGAATATAAATAAATGGGCAATAAGTAGGTTTAGATTCGAAATTAAATATAAAATTTTATTTTAAGTAATTATATTACTAAAATCATAACGCCATGGCTTAGCACACATAATCATCAAGAAAATCATGAATAATCTTTTAATATTAACGTTTAAGATGGAAAATCTTAAGCAGGATAAGAACCTCCTTTCAAAAATTTATTATACGACCAAGTTAAAAGTTTTAGAATGTTTTTTTTTTGTCATTTATTGACATTTATGTATAAAATAATGACAACCAAATTTATTCGTATTATATTAGTACAGTCAGTTTAAAAATTATAAATATCTACATGAGAATTTGAAGAGACTAAATTATTTCGTGTTATGATGATTAACAATATATTTTTGAAAAAAATTATCTTATCTATAAATGTTAGTATAGTAATAGATGTGAAAGAATAGCGAAAATATATACTAGCAACACTTAAGTTAATTTTTCTAGCGGTATTAGTTTTAAAATAAAACATTACTCATTAAATATTTATGTTCAATACATAAGTTATTCAAATAAGTATTTGATTAACCTAAATGTTACTAACTCTCATAGACATATAAAATATATAGGTTCGTGTTAACGAACTATTTGAGCTGACTGTACATTGATTTTATATCGTCATTTAAGTAGTTCTTTTGGTGCTCTACGTGTTGCCCACACAGAGAAACCGTGACAAAACGAAGACTTATAATTACTTTCCTTCATTTTTCAATAAATTTAACCCAAACGAAAATCAAACGATAACTATTTTGGTTTCGTTGAAATGACATTAAACGTCCGAAGAATAATCTGTCAAACTCGAATTTTCGTTCGTGCGGATTGTACAATTAGAGTAGGGTTCCGAAAATATCGATGTCAAACAGTACATCTCATACTAATTTCTGGCTCATTTCATTCCTTTTTCGTTCGTAATAAATGCCATTGTGGTAGGTAATGTTCGAAGTTTCGTCCGAAACTTCGTTTTTCGTCGAATCAGAGTAGACCTACTGGGGCTTATAATTTCTAATTACAAAATTTCTATTGCCATCCAACGTGGCAGTGCTGCCAACCTTCTAGGCACCTTACTTTATGACAATGATGAGGATAATTTTTTTATTGCGTAAGTTTTTTCTTTATTTTTTTTTCTATATCCCTCATGGCCATTTTAATTTTAAGTACCTACTATAGTTTTTATTTAACTTACTCTAGTTATTATTTATTAATTATTTAATTTATATTTGTATATAGATTAGTTTACATTACATAGTATTAATAGTTTATCAATAAATAAATTATATTACAATTAAAAATCGCCAACCCGCATTGAACAAGCGCGGTGATTAATGCTCAAACTGTCTCAATGAGAGAAGATGTCTTTGCAGCAGTGGCCATTTTAGGCTACTGATGTGATGGGGATTTCAAGAAACATTTTTTTTTTCTATTTTGTTTGGTTAATAAAATGGCCATTAAGGTTTGCCTTAAAGTCTAAAATGGTTCAATAATGTCATTTACAGAAAACATTAAATAATATAACGTAAACTATCGTAACAGGCTAAGTAATACTCCATTCGATATTATTATTATCCTGTATACCAAAATTCATAGACTAAAAGCCACCTTAAAACACATGTAATATTTTTTAGGGAAATTAGCTATTCTCCAAAATTATTCGACCGCTACTATTGTGTTCAACTATAAATAGGATGGTGAATACCCTCATCAGTAAATGGACAGCCTATAAACATTATTACGTTATTGATTTATGCGAATCGTACCGAAAATAAACTGTATTTACATAATATAGTATCCGTGATCTAGTTATCAAAATTCTATATAGATTTTGGTCGCTTTTGGAGAACACTGATTCTCTTGTGAAAAATACATTTATTATTGTTGAGCAGTGGCAGAAAATCGTAGAGCCAATTATTAGTTGTTTACTTGTATAGGACGCCATTGTAGCATTGATTTGTTTTTGGGATAAGCCGGTAAATAAAAAAAAAAAAACAAAAAAAAAAATCAAATAATGTTTATTTCGTTATTACACGTTAATACAAACTTACACAGTTGGTGGCGTCTCCTTTTAAGCATATAAATGCCTATACCAGTAAATAAGCAGACGGATCACCTGATGGTAAGGTCTTTTGAGAATTAAGAATTTGAGGAATTGTTGAAGATTCAGGGATTGGTGAGATTGGGGAGAGGGGTAATTGGGCCCTCGAGTAATTTCACCGTATCTACCAGTTTTTTGTTATAATTTTGTATATGTTTACATTAAGCAAGCGTGACGATTAATGCTCAAATCTTCGTCTATAGACTGATAATATAAACATGAAAGTCTAAATAAATATCGCGTATATTTAGTACGGACTCCAAACAAAGCCAGAGCCTGATTGGTTTTCAAGTTCAAAATTTAATAGGACAAAGGCTAGACACGTGCCCGGCGAGTGACATACGCTCGCCAAGTTTCCTACTATACAAGTCTAACACTTTAAAATAGTCCCTCAGTGTTTCGTGTCGTTGTGTATCATAAGGAATAACAAAGTAAGTCTAAACTAAACGGATTTTGGTACAGAGATAGAGCATAAGATGGAATTTGGAAAAAACTTCAACAAGGTACAACAGCTAGCACTTGACAAAAAACTTTACACAACCCTTCCCGGAATTATGAGATTTTTTATAAAACTTTTTAATTTTCTCTTACCTACTAAAACTTTGAAACGTAAATGTTTTTTTTTATGTTTGATAGGCCGACGTTTGACCTCTATCTTACCTAGTGGTAAGCGATGATGCGGTCTACGATGAACGACGTCGACCCATAAGCAACTTAATGAATATCCAAAAATACCAAGTCTCGTCAAAATAAATTGCCTTTTTTATTTTGTAATACCTATGAACAATCAATTATCACTTGCCCTAACAAAACTGTGCTAACAAGAATCTAAGAAGTAAAATCAAATCCAATCCATCTTCATGTTTACAAATTTAATAATGAACGTAGGTGTATCAAAAGGGTAAGTCTATTAATAGTCTCTTTGTTTCGACTAGAGTTGTACATGAAATCAAAATCCGTCGCTGTCTCTGTCCACCGTTGGTGTTTCAGATTTGTCAATATTTATCCTTAATACCTATTCAAGCATAAAGAACATCGTTTAATATTATTTGACCTAGAATGATTATTCATTTAAGGTTATCTAATGGAGTTACTGTCGCAGGTTTATATCTAAAACTGTTTAACTGAACCTTTTTTGTGTAACTGGTTAGCGAATCCTGAATCTTCATCGAAAACGCCATCTACCGTAAAACGGGTTGAATATAATTCGTTTCCCAACATTTATTTACCCCTCTTCTGTACCTATTCACCCTTTGAATTCTATTCACCCCGATTTACTTGATATTCCATATATGATATAGCATAACCTAATAACGGTATACTCTTCTTTTGTAAATCTTTTGTCATTCATTCTTGCTGTGTGGCCTGTACCAAAACACATCTATTTCAATCCTTCTTACTTTATTTTCTTTAACTAAATACTTGAAAGCAGCAACAACTTGCTTAGCTTAAGAATTAGTTAGTGATTGTACTAAAAGCACTCCAATTCATTCAATATTATTCAACGGCAACATAAACAGTTGTCAAAGCTGAACGTGACGTCACAGTTCAAAGTAATCTCACTTTGAGGCACTCCATAATGTCTCATGAATAAATTACTGGCTAGTTGCTTGAAAGAGAATAAAATGCTATTTTATTATTCACTTGTTTATTTACTAGAGGTTGTTTAGTGACTACGGACGTTGCTATAGACGACTTACGTTTAGACGATTTGTTTAGAGTTGTCAATCAAAGGACCGATTTACATAAATAGAAGTTTTGAGTTATGCCAACTTACCAAGTTCTAAAACGTAATCATAAACGGCTCATTGGAAATATAACTCCCAATTTGAAATAGAGAATAAAAAATTCGAATCCAATATTGTAGTCGTTCAACATTAGATTAATAAAGTTTTAAGTGAACAATCGGTAACGATCGATTTGGTAAAAAATATAGTTTTGTAATTTATAGTCTTGTATCAAAATTGTTCGATCGTACTAACAATTTTAAACCGAACAAAAGGTGACAAAGGCTTTTAAATTGATAGACATTTGTTGCCACGTTCTACGCGTAACTAAGCATCAATGACATTAAAACTACAATACCATTAGCCAAAAGTTGGAAGCTATTCTCTAGAATTATGTTTGCTATTTTTCCACTTTAATAGGTGGGAAAAGTAACGATCTATATTGGTTGAACCTGAGCGTTAAACTGAAAGTTTTCCAGGTCGTGTCGACTTTTCTTATCTGTTGTCACGCGAACCTTAAGTTAACAGTTTGTAATGTTATCTTTGTAGGCGCTGAGTCAGCACGTCTTGCATAGGGTGGATGGAGAAACGGTCGGCGGCCCCATGACAGCCTACAGCACCATACAATTTGTCGTACAAAAACATCATTTCGTCAGAGGGAAAATCAAGGTGAGACCTTTAATGTTATTTTTATTACCAATAAAATGAGTCGTCAAAAGAAATCTTTATGTCTTAATCCCACTTTCCTATATTGTAAAGAAAAGTATAATCTAATTTTCGTAGAAATGAAATGTAAATGAAGTCTATTCAAAGAAGATGAATTACGATTTTTATATCGTGTACAAATTACCTTTCCTATACCTCAATAGTTAACGACGTGGTACTTAATATATAATGATCTGTATCGGGAACGATATTATGTATTGCCTATGAGTACCGTATATTACGCTCAACACGATACTTGTAAGTTAGGTACCTTCCTACCTTTTTACTAAATATTTTAGATGTTTCTTTGGTGATCCTAGAGTAAATACAGACAACGTGAGTTCTAAAAAAAAATTGAAGTAAATTATTTCAACGACTGCCTCGTTGGCCGAGTGGTCACAAGTGCGACTGCCGGGCAAGATCTCGGTTTTGATTCCCGGGTCGAGCAAAGTATTACTGGGGTATTAAAAAACTCAGTAGTAGCAATATCTGGAAATGTGCCCGGTATATGGCAATAGGCTCACCCCCTATTACATGGGACTCATAATATAAATAGTGAAAAGTGGGTGTTAGACACTGTACAGTGGCATTGAGTGCCGAAATGTTCACCTCTGCCTACCCCTTCGGGGATAAAAAGGCGGGATGTTATGTGTTATGTGTAAAATATTTCATTGTTGTCATACGATATTATATACAACGGATGTACTTTCAAATATTTTCTTTAACAGATAATAACTTAACTCATCGAGTACTGTCATTATAGAGGTAGACACAATTATAGAACAATAGGTTGCGGTCACCGGTGACCGCTTGGTGTTTGACAGTTTAAACCCATATTTCTTAACATATATACATACAATACATACATAACCTCAGGCCTGTCTCCTATGGGGGTAAGTCGAGACTGGAACGCCAATTGCTATGATTCTTACATACCTCTTTCGCTTTATCAACAGTCGTCAGTGTTTTCATTTATATTAATCTTCACAATCAAAAAATATTTATATACTGTTTTGGACGTAAAAAGTACGTTAAAGTTTCTGTTAAAAGCGCAATAACTAGAACCACTTGAACTATTGATCGCAGTTCAGTTTCTCTAGAAAACTACTTACCTATTTCAGTCGTAAATTTGGAAAACACTATATCAGCTAACTTTCCTATGCTTTGCAGCAATAAATAATGTAGTATTTTAGTGCAATACACGGTTAGTTATGAAGCATTGCCTACACTTTGTGACCACGGAACTGCGATTAACATCGCACATTGTGATTTAGACTTTTGATTTAAAACATTTCTGAATGAATAAACGGTTTAAATAAAAGTGCCTGTTTTGTTGTTAAGTATGACTTTTGTGAAACAAGTGAAACAAGTAAAACAAGTGAATTTATTTCTGCAAATAGGCTACAAGGCAGCACTTTTACACGTCAATTTTATCAAGCGAACGATGAGGTCGACATTTCCTAACTGACTACTCTGGGAAGAAATGCCGAAACAAAGGTCTGTCTCTTTTAAAGTCCAGACAATATGTATAACAGATTATGTGTGAGAATCGTGCCAGTTCTTTCTGTAGTGGGCTTTTGAGGAAAGAACCACAAGCGGACCCGTTCTGAAGGCAGTACGCATGTGTCGGTTTACAGTCAGCTCAATTAACAGGTGAGGCTGACTGATTCGACGAACAATACCAACCTAAAGAACATTTGCGTAGGTCGCACAAATACTCAAACTGTCAGAAAATGGGTAATTAGAAATGAAATGGTGAGGCAAAGTCTCGCACGGTTTTGAACACTGACTTTTCATTCTGAGCTCTAGTATAGTATTGAGTTTATCAACATAGAAAAAAATGTTTCAGAATTACTCACATTTCGTACTTGTCGGTACTCGGTAATAATAATGTCAACTGACAATAAGTGAAGTGATATATTTTTTTCTAAACAATTTCTATAACTAGTTTGTCTCTTTGTTCAGATTCGGTGTACAGCAAGCGTCTACTCAATATACCTACAAAGCTTAGAAAAGAGCGCTGAAGAGGAGAGGATACGAACCACTCCGGTCAGCCTCCCAGAGGTACACGAAGCAGTAGTGTACTCTATACATCGCCTGCCAGAAAGTAGTAAGTCTCTTGAGATTTCTTTCACAACACGCATTGGACAATAAATAATTTGTTTGCTTCAAATGTTGAATACAGTTATGGTAGTAGTGAATTTGTCTTGTTGTTGAGTTGTTGGAGATTGTAGTGTGATGTTAAGGGCTTCCTTTTCAGATAATTTAGTTAAGGGTCAAGGAAATTTTTTGTCTGTTTTCTCCTTTGTTCAATACGACTAAGAAATACAATTGTGTGTAAATTCTTAAGTACAAAGAGTTCACTGTAATGAATATTTAAGTGGGTACAAAATATACAAGACATAAGGTTGAAGAATTTTATGAGACGTATGTTTTTTGTTATAGGAAAATATCGTGAATGTATAAAAGACTTTAAACACACCACAAAGTTCTTGCGTTATAAGAAATGACGATTCATAGTCCTACACTATTCAAGATTTTGGTTTTACATAGCATCTTATTTAGCTTTTTGTCGGCAGTATTATTAATTTCTACAAATTGAACTTTGTATGTAAATGGAGCAAATAAAATATTTAATGATTTTTCAGATTTCATTAACGAAACCAACTATTTTCATTATTATTTTTTAGAAAACAATTTTCTTATTGCTTCGAAGTCTTCTTTAGGTTTTGACTCACATTTTATAATACATTTTTTTTTTGAAGGGGGAACATCATCCAATGTCTTTTCCCGCCCGGGTGAAGCGGGAGGGAGTGTCAGACTCTTACTGACTAAAAACCACCCCGTTCCTACACCTGCACTTCGAACCGGAGCCCCGGCAACCCGTTAAGTCTTCCGCGGCTCCGTATAGGCATCGGCCCTGTTAGACCCCATCTGTGGTGGTCTGATGGCTCCTTGAAGCGCGCGCGGAACGCGACACGCCGTACGCTCGGGCCTGGTTCTGGTCGGGCGGCGAGTCACCCGTGCTCGCGCTCCACAGGCCCGTGGCCGTACGGTAGCCGGAGATCGTCTCGCGATCCCCGACGTTCGGAGTGTCTCTCGCGACGGCCGGGTCGTGAGGAGATTCGTTCCCTCACGCGCTCCGCTTTCTCCTTAGCTAGGATGACTGCTTCGCAGAAGGAGGAGACGGCATCCCAGTCCGTCCGTCCGTCTCCAAGGCGAGAGATCGCCGTACATTATATTTCTAGAAGTAAAACCTTCTTCTTAATATGATATATTTTATACCCTATTTTAATGTTTTTGTCGGTATCTAAGAAATTTAAAATATCTGGTCTCTAACGTGCATTTGCGTTCCGACAAACTGAAGTTTATAAAATGATAGAATTTAACACCAAATTTTATAGAAAGAAAATGAAGATAAATTGTTATTTTTTGGCTTACTCACGTAACGATTTGACGAGGAACTCAACAAATTTCAAGCCATGCTAGACGATATTTTTAAAATAAATGGAAATGAATGTATTCATAACATACTTTAATAAGATGACTCTCATGTGCAATATAAACGTGGTGCCGACGTGTGAAAATTACATTGTAATTGTATCATTATCAACTGAACGCCACTTTGCGGAAATCGTTCCGTGCAAAAACACCTAATTTCAATATTAACCGTATTCTACGTAGGCATTGTAATTTAATTATTTCGCCACGTGTGAAATAAAGCCCTCCCTGATACGTATCGCGTTAAAATATTGAACATTTTCGTTCACTAGTTCGACACAAAACACTATTGTTAACGACCTTAATTTCAAACATTATATCTGCGACCTTCGTTGAAAATAAATCACAGTCCATACCTACCCTACCTTTCAATTTTGAACTTCAATATTTTAATTAAAACAGTATTAATTGATATTTCATTTCTGATGAGTTCAACCTTAACGATCGACTCTATTTTTAGTAATTTATACTTTAATAGCAGCTTTGCTGGTCTTGATTTTTTTAAATTGATTGTTAGATGAGTTTCTTTTTTAGTAAAATATATAATTAATTTTAAATCTAGTTCAGCAGGAGTGTTTTTGAACCAAGGATATTACTTTTAAAAACAAAACCCGCTTCAAGCTCTTAAAACGTTTCATATTGATTAAGTGTTGTATCAATTTCCTTTCAAAATATTTAAGAATTACAAATATTAGTCCAAATTTCTCAAATTTGTTGCAGAGATATTAAGCGATATCCAAGACTTAAGTTAACTATTAATGTACAAATTTTCATACAGCTAGCATCACACTGAGGTAACTGCTCCATGGTAACGAGGAAATTAACTGTTATTACTTTAGCTGATCTCAACTAAATTACAAATGACCCAGTTCCAACCAGTATCCACGTTGACCAAACAATAGAGTATAATAACATTCTCAAACAAAATATTGACCCAGTCAATCCTTTCTGGAGGTTTTTATACATTTTAATAGTTTGGGTGCGGTTCGCAAATCTCTTGCGCAAACTTTGGGGCGCTATCGGTTATTTTATCATAACAAAAGCGATGTAAATATTGTACTGAATTATAAAGGATTTACTGTTCTTTGTAGAACGTAAATTGAGATGCATATAACTTTTATTTTTAAACGTAAGTTAATAAATACCACGTTGGAAGAATAGTAGGCAACCTGTCTAGGCTTCATGTTCGTTTTCCATAGTGGACAAAGTAGTGTTGGGGTTATTTTCGCGATTTCATAGATATCTTAGTAACGCCAAGAAATTCGTTAAATAGCTGGGAGTCTGGAAATGAAACGGCATGGCGTTATGCAAATTATATTTAGGTAATTTAAAATTAGTCTATTTGCCCTATAACTCCTTAACAAGAAATATAATTTTACATAGAATAAGATAATGTATTGTTAAACGTCTTTCAAATTTCAATCAACAATACCTAATTTGACGGAGTAAACCTTTCTCTGTTCTTTAATAATGCAAATACCAAACCTCTAACACTATCTTCAAACCGTCCTTTATCAGAAAATTATTTACTTTCGAAAACCGAATTTCTAAAGCCTTTTGTCTATGTGCACTAAAGAATGCAAATGCAAACTATTTTAAGTTCGTCCCGAAACGTCCCGAAAATTTCCGAACGAACTATTTCGGCCGATGCCATTGATTGGATCACTTGTATTTTGGACTGCATTTTAGGAATACGAACGTGTATTTAGACTCTCTATTCTGTTTGCAAAGAAAATCTTTAAAGTTAAATTAGTTTACACAGTGCAGTACAGTAAGATTCCGTGACCTGAATTATTCATTTTTATATGAATCTTGGATGTTTTTGTCTTTTGTTTGACTTTATGAAACAAAATGTATTAAAGTTAGGAGAACCTAATTCGTACCAATTCCATGGGAATTCGAAACTACATGGTTTATAATAGATTTCTTTTCACCAACAAACTAAATCATAAATAAAAAGGATTGAAATAAATATACTAGAGTCTAGTCCTTTATTTCAACGTCAGGTTAGGTCAAGCATCTTAGGACAATCATTAAAAATAAGGGGTTGTATGACTGTCAAAGTTATAAAAATCGTCTTCACAACCGTGAAATGAGTAAAACTTTAAGAAAAGGGTTGCCTGCGTAGAAACATAATCTTAACGTCAAAGACTTCTTTGAGAATGTATAAAGAAGTGTTTCTGGAACTTTCTATTTTTATACTTTCTTTTTTACCTACACACAAGCCTTTAATAGCTGTAATATATACGTACTTACTGTGTACATTTATCGGTTAAATATTTCCCAGCCCTTTTATGGTTTGGAAAAAAAGATATTTAAAAATATAATATATGTATTAACGCAACACCCACCTAGTAATGTAAAAATATTCGCGTAAATCCCAGGGATATCCATGGGATATTTCGAATTCCACGAACTTATATGTAAGTATACACCAGGTCCCTAGATTCGTATCATATTCGTTGGTAATTATCTGCCTTTAATGTATCTATTAGACTAATTTTGATAAATAATTAGAGCATTAAAAATACTGAAAAGTTCTAAGAAAATCTATATAAATAAATATTAACCTGAAAAACAAATAAAGATCACCTCTTCAAAATATAAGCATATTACTGATGTACCTCTAGTTCCATATTAAGCTTGCTTCCGACAGATCTACAAATTAACACCCAACGGCTTAAAGCATAAAGATCAAAATAGGACAACGTCATTGTTAATATCAAAAATATGTGTGAGCATTTTAATTTAGTCTTTAAGCAGTATACAATAAGGTATACTTATACTTGGCAAGATATACGTTATTGGGAAAGTTAGGCACAGCGTGAAACCACGTTTATAGCGAGATGTCCTGGTGTAAGTGACGTCACATAATTACAACTGCCTGTTTTTGACATATGACACAACTAATTAATTTGAATTGTACCAACTATCTTACCGTTATACCTCTATACATAAATAAGTTTATGCTTTGGTCACACGTTCATCAAGGTGAAGAGAAACCACGGAAACTTATAATTGTAATTTAAAGTGTCTAACTCTTATTGAAAATAAACCGAACTATTACAGTTCTGCATCAATTTATACCGCAAATACAATTTTCTTTATCTATATCTTTGGTTCTCTGTTACTTTTTAACCTACTCTTACTTTTTGTTTTTTTTTATGACATATGAGCTTTTTTTATGGCCGGTGAACGAGCAGACGGATTACTTGATGGTAAGCAATCGGCATCGCTCATGGATATTCGGAACACCAGAGGTGTTACAAGTGCCTTACCGGCCATTTAGAGATTTGGAATTTGATGATTGTTGGGGACTCAGGGATTAGGGAGATTGGGGGGAGATAATTGAGCCTCCGGTAACCTCACTTACACGACGAAACACGACGCAAGCGTTGTTTTACGTCGATTTTCTGTGAGGCCGTGGTATCAATCCGGTCGGGCCGGCCCATTCGTGCTGAAGCATGGCTCTCCAACACTTAAAATTGTTACTTTTTATATATCTTTGGTTCTCAGTAATTTTATCTTTTACACTAGATAAACATTCAAAATGTCCCTTCAAGTGTTCAGAACCCCACACTATCTTATCGTCATTAATATCGAGACCAA